ACTAGAGGAAGTACGCTTACGGTTGAGGCTTGCGTGGCCGGAGATTATAAGGGTATGTAGCTTGATGGAGTAACATGGTAGGACTGTTATGGGTAACGGCGTGATCGTACCCTTTGATAGACGCGGTCGGTAGATGAGTCACTAGCTCCTCCTCCTCCTCAAGAATCGTGGGAAGGGTTGAAGCCGGGCCGGTGCACTCGAATATTTTTTTGATCTGATTCAAATGCACTCTACGTGGCTTGGCTTGTGGTGAAGTAATGCTCACGATTGTGGCATGTGGTGGATCCATCTGGATAACGCGGAACTGACCAATCCATGGAAAGCATAATTTGCGTGCCAACCCCTGCTTGTTCGTATAATTTTTGAAAAATACTCGATCGCCGACTTGAATAGATGATGGTCGGGCTGTTTTGTCATACCCGAGTTTCATTTTTGCTTTATAGTTGCGTGCAAAATCGGCCGCATTAGACCATGCAAGTTGCAGAGCTGAAACCAGCTGCGCTCGGTAGTCCAATACTCCGTTGGAATCAGGTATAGAAGTTGGTTCCTGTGGGTTAAGGATACGGTCGATAACGAAAATGGGATCGCGTCCGAATAATAGAAAGTAAGGAGATTCACCCGTAGCCTCATTTATAGTAGTATTGTAGCAGAAAGTGACGCATGGTAAGAAAAGGTCCCAATCTTCCTGCTTGAGGTTTATGAATTTAGAAAGCATGACTTCAAAGGTACGAAAAGTACGTTCTGTTGCCCCATTTCCCATAGAATGATAGGGTGTGGCGCATCGATGCTGAATGTACAGCAGGTTGCAGAACTCCTGATAGAAATGGGATGTAAAGCTGGAAGCTTGGTCGGAGATCAGTTCGGACATGGTTCCGTATTTGAGTACGCATTCCGTGAGAAGTGCATGAGCGATGGTATTAGCGCGTGCGTCTTGTAGAGGCACAGAAATGACGTAGCGTGTAAACCAGCAAATCATATTCAAAATATAGCGATTACCTCGTTCAGTTATTTTGAGTGGTCCACATAGGTCTAAGCCCACCTTTGCAAAAACTGCTTCACTGTGCACTGGTATTAGTCGTTCTTTATACGCTGGATTTGGTTTGCTCCGCATCTGGCACGTCATACATGCTTGACACCACTGGTGAACATCAGCATAGACTGATGGCCAATAGTACTTGCGCAATATCTTAGCGAGTGTTTTTCTCCATCCCATGTGTCCGCCAGACAGGGCGCTGCTGTGATGGGCGTTAATGACGAGGGGTTGAAGTGAACTAGGTATTAGTAATAAGGGAGCTGGTGAATTATCCCGACGATAATACAGACACCCGTTAGATGCAACCGTAACTTTGCTCGCGAAATCGGTTAATGACGCTTTTTCCTGGTCTGTGAATGAGGAAACTGCAGAATTATCCTGTTTGAAATGGAATACCTTTTGAAGGAACTCGTCTTTTTGCTGTTCTTCTGCCATGTTCACAGAATGGTCCATACCTCTGATGAAGGTACGACACGGCATAACCACGGGTAACTGGTGTTCCTCTGATACGCGGCAAGTCAGTGGTAAACTGATGGGGAATTCAATGATGTCATGAAGTTCGTCATGGGAAGTGTTGGGCTCGTCCCTACTTTCATTCGCTCGGGAGAGAGCATCAGCTACCGTATTCTGTTTGCCCTTTATATGTACGACCTTTATGTCATAACTCTGCAACTCGATGAGCCAACGAGCTAGGTTATCATGCGTTTTACTCTTATTAAGAAGAAAAGAAGAGAGGTTTATGGTCGCTATGGAGAATAACCTTTGTCATACATATGTATGGTTTGAATTGGCGTAAGGCGTAGATAATAGCACCCAGCTCAATTTGAACTGCAGGCCAGCGGCGCTCAGTTTCACTCAAAGTGCGGCTACAGTAAGCCACTGCGTAGAACTTATTCGTAGTCTCCTCGAACTCTTGCATGAGAGCGCCTGCTTGTGCAAATGCACTAGCATCTGTGAAAATGTGGAATTGCTTGTCATAATTGGGGAAGCCTAGAATGGGTTTCTGAAGAAGAGCATCCCGCAATTCCACGAATGCTGACTCTTGGCGGTCTGTCCACTGGAACTTGTTGTCTTTACGGGTAAGCCATGTCAACGGTTCAGCGATGGTAGCAAAATTCGGTATGAATTTTCTGAAAAAGCCCACCATGCCAAGAAAACGTCGTACTTCTTTTACGTTACGCGGTGTAGGAAATTCTCGGACTGCTCGAGTATTGGCTTCCGCAGGGGAATAACTGTCCTTATTTATAAGGTGCCCTAGGAAAGTTATCTGTTTTCTGGCGAATACACATTTTTTAGGAGATGCTTTGAGGTGGAATTGCCGCAATCGAGAAAGAACGCTTTTGATTGCCTCTAAGTGGGACGGAAAGTCTTTGCTGTAGATGAGGATGTCATCGATGTATGTGAGCACATGGTCATCTAGACCTCCTAGCACTTTAGCCATTATGCGGGCAAAATAGCTACCGGCCGCCTTTAACCCAAAAGGAAGATGGGTCATCTGGTAAACCTTATTTTCTGTGATGACACCGCACTTATAACTAATTGAGCCAATTGATTGCCACCGATCTTCTCCAGGACCACGTCGATTCGTGGCACTGGGTACGGATCAGGGAGGGTTTTAGGTAACCGCATTAATTGGGCGACGCATGTCAAGACAAACTCGCAAGGAATTATCCTTTTTACGCACCACGACTAAGTTGTGAACCCATGGAGTGTGCGATTCTTTCATGACACCTGCGCGTAACAACATGTTAATGTGTTTCTGGAGTTCCTCGCGATATTTAGTGGGGACTCTATACGGTCGGATTTTCGCCGGAGGGTCATTTGTCGTGAAAATATGCACTTTCCCAGCTGTACAGCTTCCTATATCATATTGATGCTTAGAGAAAACGTCTGAAAATGAATCAAGGAGACGCTGTAGTTGGCAACGTTGTTTGGGGTTCAAATCACAGTGATCAAGGTCGACTTTGTAAGACGGATCCCTTGGCGTAATGTCCGCGACGCATGAAATCGCCGGTGGGGAATTGAGGTGATCCTCAGACAGCGTGTGCTCATCATTAGTGACTGCGATGGCCTTCGCCAGACGCATACCCTCGTACAGAGTAGCTGACTGATTGGTCAGATTTGAGATCAGAAGGACCGGTTGTTGAGATGAAATAATTGCGGGAGCTACAATGAGGTCCCTTTCGACGAGTTTTTCATGGCGCACCACCGAATCAACAGGAAACAGA